CGTAGACGTTAGACTGACTTGGTAATTTGTACAATCACCGTCTGCCTAGTTTAATACACTCCGGATAAATTGCATTATCGTTGACATTTGGATGACAGACTGGATGTCAAGTTGGGCAAAATGCCATTGGGGCAATATGCCAAAAACATCGCCAAGATCTAACTTTCACTTCCTAATTATTGTAGCAGAATGATGCCCGGATAAGTGTGTGAATGAATATGAGAAACTTTAAAGTCGCCTACAATTTGGCTCTTAAGAGGGTGACATGAGCCCGCCCCATTCGTCTACCAGACCTTTTGTACACTTAATGAGAAGGTTACTTTTTAATTCTCATGCCCCAAAAGGTAACTCAAGCGATATTGGAAACCACGGGACGATGAACGACTAGGCTGAAGAGGGTGAACACCACAAACAATAAACTCATTGGTTGCAGTTACCGAAAATGTCAACCATAGGGGCATTGAAATCGCACTCAGGGCAGAACCATTTATTTCAATTGGATCCCTCCACGAACTAGCTGCGCCTTGTTTGTTGTTTGCATTACTGGGGGAAAGTAAGGGAGGTAAGATTTAAATCGAGATAACGAATGGTTAAGAGGCAGTAAAGATACTTATGGTTATTCAGTAGTAAATTTATTATTTTCAAACTATCGATCGGTCTAGTGAGGAGTTGTTGAAATCGCTCTGCTAATTCAGAGCGAGATGAAGCAAAAGTGAACCGCTTTGATTTGTCGCCTTATCGGCGTAGAAGCCTGTGGTTGAGTTACTGATGGGAATTTGTTGAAGGCTATCCACTTGAACAGCTAATCTCAAGCGAGAAAATAAATCTTGATTTAGCGGAACGGAAGATCGAAGTCGATTAACTGATCAGTGGAAGCATTCATGGAATGTAGAAAAAGATACCCAAAAATTCCTTTGTGTTAATCAGCGTTACCTGACGAACATCCCCAAACATCTGAAATTCGAGAAGAGACCCGGTGAATCGACTGACATCCCGAAGGCAGTTTCAAGCAGCTGAAACTGGATAGGGGAGCGGAATGGCTCTGTCCCTGTTTCCAGCCTTGTCTAACTAACTAATTGACTTGGTCGCAGTTGTTGAATTTGGCATAACCTTTTCTGATGTCATGACGCGTCTTGTCAACGATTGATCCCACCTTTCAGTGGGAGACTTCGAGGCCTGTCTGAGCGTCCGACTTCTGGCTCCTTAAGTGGATAAGAATCCTACGCGTGGAAGGGAAGACTACGGTCAGTTGTGTTCCTTAAAAAGAGTTAACACGGGTGTGAAATTAAGCGTTAAATGCAGTAAGAAAGTGTAAATAAATGATCATTTTTTTCCAAATTTAATGTCCTTTCATATGCCATACAAGTGGCAAAAGGTAATGGATACAACAGGATGTTGCGGTAACGGTCAGTTGGAAGAGGGCGTCCAATATGAAGAAAAGTAGAAATTTCGCACGGCATGGAGGAGGAGGAGGAGGGAGGGGGGGAGGAGGAGGAGGAGGTAATTTTTAATGTTGCATGAAGGCGTGATATCTCGGATAAGAAAATAAATCTATAGAAAAACTGCCAAGAAGATGGGTTAGTAACAAAAATGCAAATTGTCCTTTTTTTCGAATTCTTCAAAAAGTTGACAGCCATTTATTCAACCTCTGGTAATGGCATTGCCGCTCCTTTTAATGTGGTTGTCAGGTCGTAAATGTCAAGCCTTTTTACGTCCTAAGCAGACTCGCAGTTCCTAGCCGGTGCCTTTCATTAAGGAAGGAAAAGAGGGAGGGAGAGGTAGAACGGGGAAACTCGGACCTCTGCCTTGGGGTGGGCTAAAGAAAGATGCTCCACTAATTGCGTTCACGCACTTGCCAATGATGAATGGGTGTGGAGGCGAAAATGAGTAACTTTATATAATGTCCATTAGACACGTAACCCGAAAATTGATGCCCTTCTTGGTACGCACTCTCATACAGCGAGGGTAAGTTAAACGGTGACCTGATTTTGATGTTGTCCACAAACAAAAAAGATAAGGACGGCATACAAGTTTACTGTCCCTCAAAGTCAAGTAAAAACTCAACTCTAGCCACCTTTATTTTAATATCCCCTAAGCTTTCCTATCGTCCCTCCTGTTTCACCTGTGC